GAGAGAGAGAGAGAGAGAGAGAGAGAGAGAGAGATGATATAAGTCGTGAGTGAGATGCGGTGAACCCAAAACTAAACTTATAATTTTTTCACATTCTATAACTTTAATAACATTAATCTTACTATTGCTTCACTACTTTCGAAACAATGGGTGAACCCTAACCTGAACTACATATCTCTGCCCTAAAATTTAAAAAAAACATTCAAACCATGTATTTATTCGCATCATAATAGAGATGCCAATTATAGTGTAATATAATGAAAACAATTGATTGTTACAAAAATTAAAATAAAACAATTTTTGTGATATTTTTAAAATCCTTGAGCCCTACGAACAAAAACAATTTTTTGTGTTATATTTATGGAATAAAATTCTCCCAAAAGTGTCGGAATATTTTTACTGAAAATTTTTAAACTTTGAGATTGTTTTTCAAAACAATATATAGTTTATTCGGTGTACTGTTTGAGCTAACATTTATCTATATGTATATATTGCTCCAACAGTTAATAAACTTATATTAATATTAAGTTTTACTCAATAAACAATTTTAAGTGACAGAAAAAGTAAGAAAAACATATACAGTATTGGGAAAAATGCAAGTATTTTTCATTAATATGATTACAACTAATATTAATATTAAAAAGTCATCACTTATTACTGGAGATGTGGTAAGTATTGAGAAAAATAATATAATAAATGGGTTTCTATTAAAATAGATGATGTACTAAATCTGTGTATCAGATCTTGTGTTGTATTTAAATCTAAATGGTTTGAGTGACAGAAGGAAAATATAAACAAAACATTGAAAATTGGGTCAGGGATTGAGTGATTAAGTGAAGATCACTTCCGCATATCATCACTGGATATCACTTTCAATTGTTCTCTAAAGTGGAACTCTTTTGGCAGTGAAGCCAATATTGGTTTACAAGTTTAGCTCTGGTTTACTCTCAATACCAATGCTTAACTGTATTGGTATTGAGGCAAACAGTTGGGAGTGAGAGCTCGGGTTCAACAACAAAAAAAGCGGGCGAAGGACATGAGTATTAGATATTGAATAATAATCACATTATTAGATCAGTTTGAGTTGATATTGAAGAATATGTTCGCCACAGAATTGGCTCCATTTCATAGCAAAGTTGTTTACGGATGGCTTAGTGTATACCTAATCATCACATCCTTGGACTACAATATCACTTAAATTGTGTTCATAAAAACTATTCAAGAAATGTCTATATTTTATATAATATTCATCATTATATCATATCTTTGCAACACTTATAAGTGTTTCACACAAATCATTGACCATAACATACCAAAGAGTCTAATACTCGGCAACTATTCTGACCTAATTGTCGACATCGGGGAAGATGTGCTTCTGGAGTGCGACACCAGTAATGATACAAAAAGTTTTGAGTGGTTTCGCAAAGAAGACAATTGGTTTAATGAAGAGATAACCGAACAGAGAATCTTCGGATTCAGTGAACAGTATTTATTAGTCAACGAGAATAAGGTGTCGACAGTTCTCTACAAATGTATTACTAGAGAATATTCCGGATTATATTTAATCAAATCATACAAACTATATATCGATAGACTGCCTAAGAGGCGACGAGGTTTGCATTATTCAAAACTTTATATTAAATATGATATTTTCAATGCAATATATTTACTCGAGAAATACGAAAGCGTTGTTTACCCCCGAAATGCAAGCCATACGCCACTGTTTGGGACGCAAAGTGCGATCGCGTTGTGCTCAACATTACTTACCCCTATTCGCAGCACGGATTCAATTCAAGCACTAAAGTGTGGGGAAATGTCTTATGCAATGACGAAATCGGAGGCTTTCAGATATGGGTCGTCGGTTATGGCATACTTAAGAGGTTTCTGCCCCGTATGTCACCTCCCGTTTCCTCGCAGAGACTTATCGTTCAAATTATTATCAATTGTTAACAAAATTGTTTCTAAACCCTAACAGAAGATATGGTGGCCATCGATAGGCTAACCCCCGGTAAGTCCTATTGTTTCAATGGCTGGGCGTATAACTCTTGTGGTGCGGGACCCGTCTTCACACTGGAAGGCGTTTGTGCCGAGAATGCAGTCGATTGTGAGACCACTTCTACTGAACACTGCGAATATGACTTCAATTATAATTTCGATTAATCATAAAAACTATTATTAAATATAATTTATAAACTCATTTACTTTAAACATATTTACCATAAAAACTATACTATATTTAAACAAATAATTCAATACTTATTTGTGATAAAAATACAAACAATTTTAATAATATATAAAATGTCTATAATTTTTGTGTTCAAACAATCGGTGTTTAAATTTAATGTTTAATGAATTTTATAATAAAAAATCTTTTCGTTTATGTGAGCAAAAAATCTCACTTTTTATGCCTCTTGTGTTTGATTGGATCAGATGTGGACTCAATGGTTGTCTTGTCTTCATTCCAAGACTCGTCACTCAGTTTTCGTTTATTACGATTGGATTCACTCTTCGACTGATCTTTGGGTTCCCAAAGAGCGGACCGAATGAACCTTTTGGCCGCATTTGTGTCCACTTTTGCCGCCTTCTGCTTGTCTTCGATGTCTTGGATGCGTTGGGCGTAACTCTTGAGTCGAGTGATCTCATCCTTGATTGGGTGCTCGTGAGGGTTGACTCCTTTTGTGGTCAAATAGATCCAAAACAATGAGTTCATGGCGTAAGCGGTGGTCAACTCGACTCTGGCCTTCGACAGCGGATCAGTTGACGCGCTCTTCATGTTCTTGTAATTGGCGTTAAATGTGTGCAAACATTGTTTGAGATCAGCTAACGATTGGTGCAAATCACGGATCGGTTGCTTCATCTGTGAGGGAAAGTCTTCAGCATTTGATGCACTCATGGCTTGTCTTTGAGTCCAATACTCAAAACACGAGACAATTGTTTGCCATAAATATTGTCGTAATTTGTGGACAACTTTTAGACTAAAAACAAAACCAAAAGTTTTGAATGAATTGTAAACGAAATCAACAAATCATTGACTGATTGTTGGAAACCAATTGTTGTCCACATTTTTGGGATCAAATGGCAACCGAAACCACTGAACACAAGCTCTCAAGCGATTGTGAGCTCCGGTTTGAAGTGGAAGACGAGTCCGTGATCTGTGAACTCAAGTCAGGTTTGGCCGAAATGTTTGGCACAGAACTGATGAGAGGACACAAGTACTCATTCAGCAGCGGATCCAAAGTCGCGATCTTCACTTACCACGGATGCAATATCGAACTCACCGGACGACCAGACGTGGCGTACACTTCACGGGAGACACCGATGACTTTTTACGTGAATCTGAGCGCAGCGTTGGAAGCGCTTCGTGTGACCGCTCAGGAGGAAGACAGGAACGG